GAATATTACTAAACAAAATACCATCGATCAAATCCAAGCATTAAATTGTTGATAAATCTATAAAAACGAAAATATAATACTGTACATATTATATGCATAATGGACTAGATAAATACTAACTTCATAGCTTGCTGATGAATATCTACGGCACAAATTATGCCTTTAGATATTAAACTCTCCATATTTAGGTTATTTTTGAACACATTATATTTTACTGCGCGTTCAATACGATAACTATAAATATACAATATATTTATTGAATTATTAGAATCTTTGTTGCTGTCTTTGTATTCAATATATACCAAGAAAGTGTAAACAATCCACAGATATGTTGAAAAAACGTAAGAAGCATTGTTCCTGTTGCTAGCATTGCCATCGCCCCTATGAAAAATGCTACATACATATGTAGCAGAATTAAAACATAATATCGTTCTTGATTGACAAAATATTCCGTCATGATTGGCATACGATGTAATCGAGACTCATTTGTTGATAAAGCAACATTGAAAATTGTTGACCAAAATTGGACAATGATTACGATAAGCATGCCGCAAATGGCAAATGCTGAACAGCGTTAAAAAAAGATATTGTACATTTCTTTTTTATAATTTGTTTTTATAATTTTTATAATTTTTTTACACAATATTTTAGAATGGTATTTACATATCTCACACGAACATTAAGAAATTTAGTAGTGTTTTTAATATAATCTATTTTGACTTATACAGTTGATAATTAGATTCGTTTTTTACCAAGATTTTCAAACTACGTGTACGTATGTTACGTACTTTACGTACACCTTATTTTTCTATGATAGCAATTTTGTGCTTTTATCTTTTAACTTTTTACATACACGGAGAAAATTTTATACCAGAAATTACTATGTACGGTAGTAGCCGCGGACTATGAAGGAATTATAAAAACTTTTACTATGTTTTTCACATGTGAAACATAGTAAAAATTTTCGGTCCGCGGCTTCATGATCCGCGGTTAATGTCGTGCATAGTAATTTTTGATATAAAATTTTCTCCGTGTATATGCACATATAACTTACAAGTTGCATCAGTAAGTTTTTCATTTATTATTCTAATATTTTTCTATGCTATTTTTGTATATATCAAGAAATGTGTTTAAATGTAAGATTTTATTCATACTTTGTTACTTTGC